CCCTGCGGTATCAGAGATCGAGCCTCTCTGAACGTGTCTGAAGGCGCTCCGAGTCGATCATCATGCTGCCAAATGCGAGCCTCATCGGAGGGGTTGTCCACGTATCCTAAGCTCTCAGGTCCCAGTACCTCCTGTTCGACGCGAGCAATGAAATCAATTATGCTTTCCGACCGTTGAAACTGGGACGGATTAACCTTGCCATAGAACCATGACCATTTGTTCGGGGGCGAGAAAAATGATGAGGCTTTTTTGGTTGATTGACCCGAGATGTCGTCCATGGAAAAAGCTGTGGCGGCCAGAAGGTTTCTCCCCTATGGTCAATGTCATAGGTCAGATGATTATAGGAGTTGTTGTCAAGTAGTTCTTCTTCGGGTAAGGCAGAGTCGTTAGGTTCTTCCCTTCCAGATAGAGCATCTGAGGCTCTTTTATGTTGCCAACAAGGTACTGGAGGCACGGCAGACAGTTCGGGCGCCAGGAATTGCTCATCAGACTGGTCAACAGTTGCTTCATGCCCGAGCTCGACGTCACCCTTGGCACACACGTCACTTTTTTCAGCTACCGGCATAGTTGCTTTAGCAATATTTGATATGATCGTCTGTGCTTCCTGGATATTATTCTTTGATGTTGCTTGCGTTTTCGCAGAGAGGTCAATGGTTGGTGGTACCAAATACGCTTGCATAGCCGTGGATGATCGTGTCGTAGGAGCGGCAGCCTTGCGACAGGACTCTCCGTTGGAGTCCTTGTGTATCTCGCCGCCAGACGGCTCGTTCAGCGCTTTTTCTGTAGTTGAGCCCACCAAGACCTCCGCCCTGGTATCGGCCGTATTCTCCAGCACAAAAGAATCGCGAGCGACTGACAAACTCCTGGATTGCTTCAGAACGCTAGGTGAAAGTGGCGATTTGTCTGTAGTCATGACTCCCTTGTCTAAATACCGAATAATTATCGGCTGTTTCCGGGAAGCTTCGAAGTTCTTGGACTCTCCATCAGGATGCACCTCTTGTTTGCGTCGACGTAAATCATGCGACGAGACACGAGCGTTTCTATTTATCTCAGCACCATCGAATACACCAGTCTCTCGAAGCGCCTCTCTAATCGGCTCAGGGGTACTACTGTGGTGTCGGTCGAAAGAGTTGCCTGGTAAGGATGTTTGATGATTGCCACTGGTGGCCCAAGTGGCATAAGTCGTAGCTCTACTGCTTGACCGACCATGTTGAGCTGGCGCCACGTAGGTCTTGTCGTGGATGTGGTAGCGTTGGTCGTCTCTCAAATAATCTGACCCCGTAATGCTTCTAGTTGACAAACGGTCGTCGCACGCCGGAAGGTCCTCAGGCAGTCGGTCCTCCGATTTCTAATCTTCGTAGCCATCACGAGATCGCCCTCGGCCGGCGATTGGGTGTCCTGTTGTAGGCGTCTCCTTGCGACGAAGAAACGTTGATATTTCCACCAGCTCAATCTCTCGCCGTTGTCTAGCCTTGGCTTCTAAGCGTTGCTGTCGTTGCCACGAGTACTCGCGTGATGGAGGCTGCTCGACCGAAGACATGGAGTTGTAGGCTAGGTCTACAACTACAACAATTAGTTGCGCGTTCACATTGTCTAGGTAAATAAACTTACCAGGCTTTGACGAAGATATCTGCCCATTTTGAAAGAGGCCTGGCGTCAGGCACGGCTGGAGCTACAAATTCGTTAACCAAGATTTACTTGGATATCCAATGCTTACTCACCGTGAGCCTGTCGTTCAGAACGGCTTCAGGTTGGAAGTTGTCCATGACATCTCGGCCCGATAAGATTGGCTTCTTCGGCACGTCTTCCGACCGCCTGACAGTCTCCTCAGGGGCTCTACGTCGCTTTTCCTTGGGCCTCTTCCGAGAATAGTAACGGTCTTCTCTTGTTTTGTGTCTCGTTCGTTTCTCAAACCTAGGCGGGGAACTATTTGCTGATATGGGGAAATCTGTGACTCCTGTCACAAGAGAGCGATGGATGGGCCCATGGCTAGTTACCGCTATAGATGGCCTGGCTTTCTTCGTCATCGGCTCGGGGATGATGGAGCTATCTCGTGATGGGACGCGCTTATGACCACCTCGGACAGCGTTCTGGAGGGAGATCCCGTGCGGCCTCCATTCTGGAGTTTGAGCATTGCCCTTGTCCTGATTTGACTGTAGTCGCTTTGCGGACTCTCTAGTATCGACGCCTCGACGACTGACATTGGCAAGCCAGTCTTCCACAATGTCATTGCCACTTCTGGCAGTTTCGAGTAGACTGCCATCCGAAGCCTGGTTCGCCCTTTTCGACCTAGAACGGCTCATCCGCTCTTCTTCCAGGTATGGGTGCCTTGTTGCGACGGGTCTGTCGCTAGAGCGGCCGTGCCGGCGACGATGCAGGTCCAGTTGATGATCCTTGGCCGCACGACTGCCCATCGTGCTCTGTTTCCGCGCAGGTTTGGGGCCCACAGAGACTAACGGTCCAAAGAACTTCAAAAGAGCAAACTATGGCGGGCACATGTAGTCTGGACATTTCCAGCCTTGAAGCTTCAGCCCGACGCCGAACATGTCTCTAGGAAGCACATTCTTGGTAGAACGGCAATAGCTATCCACACGGTATGGGAAATACCAACACCCCGTACCCTGAGGATGGCATTTCTCTCCCAGTCCCGAATTCACTTGGTCCTTTCTTCGTTTCTTTTGCAAGGCGAAGAAAGAGGTTCCTCGCTCACGTAAGGCAGGTTATAGGCAATGTGGAGCTCGCTTCCGACACAGAAAGAGGTCGACTGATGTTCCCACATAGGAAGGAACGGTTTACCTGATATTAGGCGCTAAGATTGCTGTGCAGACTAGGCAGGGCAAGCACGAAACCTTTAGGCTCTAGCCCAAAGGCCGAGGTCCTTCCATCTTGATCTGACGTGCGGCAATACCTTCCATTTCCTAGGTACCATTACTTGCCTGAAAGTGGGCCGGATTCAACCTCACTCGAAATCTGCAGACTGTCGGTTCTAGTCTCCAAGCTTCCAATGCAATGTCATTTTTGGCACACCTAGATACCATTGCTTCCGCCGGTTCAATCGACTTGATGCCACTTAGCATGCGAGGTTTTCAAAAGTAGACCTGTTGACATCAGCTCTTATTCCAAACGAGTCTTGGCTAATAGACGCAGTCCCACCCAGGCCACAGTTGTTGAGCAGCTTTTCGCCTCTACACAGATGCCTCCCAATGCTTTCCAAGCTTTCCCATCTCGGGGAATTTGCTACCACGACTGCGAGGGAGATTCGCCGCCTACCTTGAAACTGACTTGAACTATGTCCTTCGGGTATACCATGAGAGGCCAACCTCGAGCGTGAAATTCATAGCGCCTAAGGTGCCGGCGTGTAAGACGGGTGAGCTGAAGAGAAGGTGAACGCCTACACACGACGCTGGAAAAACTCCTAGAAACCGGCAGCATGTTCATACGGATATGGACAAGTAAACCGTGGCTCAATCCAGGCTCTGATATGGCCAAGCCATGATTCGACGCACCCACGGCGGCAGGTGGGACAAGTTGGCACATTTCATTTCGCGAAGTCCCGCGTGAAGGGCATCGTCGGGCAGCATGACACCATGACCATTCCGCTTTGTTTCTTGGGTCAAGCGACAACCATCATCGGCTGGCCGGCGCACTTGATATGCAGGCGACGCGAACCTCAAGTTGCGGCTGTCTCAGAATGCCAAGACATGGCCCTGTAGAGACGGAACATGTCCTGTATCGAATACCCGGCCGAGTTCTATTGATAGCACCACCTTGGCGATGAGGGCAGCCGTACCGCTCTCGATCCGTCCTGACAGATGCTTGACAGCTGGACATGCAGGCTCCTGTGCCTGTGGCCGCGAAATATGCTCAAACGAATCTCGCACGTTATACACGCCTGGTCTACGAACAAATCCACTTCACATCGATGCGAATAGTGCGGCAAGAAGCTATGCCTGCATTCATCACATGACTTTGAAAAGATGCGGAGCACGAATCTGCCAGAGTTTACCGGAGCTATAGCATTGTCTCCGGGCTCGATGTCGCCAATCCTCCGTCCTCTTTGAGAGTTTCTGGGCGACAATGCCTAATCGTCGGGGAATCGGGTACCCAAGAAATCGCGTGCAGTCAGGTGCAAGTAGCTTTGGAGATCAGCTCAAGAGACAATTCGCAGGGTCGTATCGTCCGTGACGACGCACGTGGCTACAAGAGCTCCCCCCGGACAGGTCATTGCGCAGCGGTATCTCAGGCTCTCTATATGTGTCGATAACGACGCTGGCCCTAACAAGCTCTTTGCTTTTGCAACCAAAAATCAGGATGTGGACCTCGAAGAAGGCGCAGCAAGTTTCACCGTCGTCCGGTCAAGACCTTTTAATTATAGACGGTCCCTGGCAGTTTCGAATGTCACTGGGATCCCCAGAGAACAACCCCGTGCTCCTTCCAACCGCCAGCCCTGCCGCGAGCGTACGACTATACGATATGCGTCGATTAGCTACCTATATTCAACTTGCGAAAGCCAAAATCTCATCGTGGGAGCAGCAACCAAGCGGTGTGAAAATCTAAATGCTGCCGGAGCATGGAGCCATCCCCAAACCTTGGTATTCCCGGCTGGATCGCGGACATGTGCATTAGGTTTCCTGCTGGTGGCATTCCGGAGGCCAAGTTGCCCCTCCATCTCTCGACTTGAAGGCCCCCATAATCGCTGGCCCATGCGACATATGACGGCGGCTATATTTCCATGGGTACGTAGTTTAAAGGTTCCACCACTTTAGACCCTACTGATGAAGTTCTCTAGCCGTTGACACGTCGTTGCGTCACAGCATACAGTCGATATCAAAACTCTTTCAGGGCGGCGCTGCTCGATTGTTGACGATGAAACTAAATTGAAAGTCTGAGTCGCAAGGACGGCAACTAATATGACTGAGCCCGACGTCGCCAAGGTGTATTGCTACTGGTCGTTGTTGCGCTGACGTCTGGGGAGCGGCTCAGGATTGTCAAGTTATTTAATGTCGCGTCGCACGAAACGGACAATTGTCGGGCGAGTAGGTACCAAACGTCCCGAATGTCTCGAGGTCGAACGTCGAGGAGAGTTGAGGGGTTGTTTGTGCGCCGTGCGTGACTTGGGGGAGGGGCAGTCGTGGCCAAACCAAGTTGACGATACGACAGAGGGGGTGACGGCCGTCGACGTCTCCACTGGATCGACCAGCTCCACTAGCAAGGAGAACTTGGACCACAAGATGCATCCACAAGGAGAGGTTGACTTCACGACTTCAGCAAATTCACCCACATCGCAAAGGCTGCTCATGGGCCTCTCGCTGGTCAGTGCCTCGCGGGGAGTGGAGCCTCAAGGAGACGACGGCATTGAGCGTTTTGCGCCAAAAAGAGGTTGCTTACCGACTTCTTGTTAGCTGCTGGCCCCAGAGCTCTCCCAAGACGGACTGCTTCGCGTGTCGCCTCGCATGAGTAGTTAATGCCGGCAAAGGAACTCTCGCCTTAGAAAGCTACTTGGTCGCATCTTTGCGCATGAGAAAGAAGCATCTAGGCCAAGGTCACGGCGGAACGGCAAGCCGAGGTTGACGAGGGTAGCGTGACGAGAGCAAATGGCTAGAACCCTGGAGCGCATTGGACGACAAGCCAGGGACGGACTACAGACCGACACCACCCATGGACAAATTTGACGAGTGAGAAGACGATCGAAGTCATCCAGGCTTTCTCCGGGACGCCTGCGTGGGATAAAGGCTGCACTCGCAGTCGCCAGCAGCATGGCACGAACATGTCAGCAAACAGATGGTCAATTGCGCTACGACGCAGCAAGGGCAGCGGCGACGGCACGGGTACGGCGAATGTCGCAATATGCTGGCCGGGCGAAATCAAACGGATAGGGACGCACATTCGAGCATCAGTCAGAATTGGCCGCCTCCCGGAGCCCGTCACGCCGCACATCTGGAATGCAAGCCGAGTCGAGAACCGGTTCTGCAGGCTCTGCAGCGAGGTGCAACACTAGGAGACTCCACTTTCAGGAGAAGGTGGACGCTGGAGAATGATGTTGCAGCTCCAAGATGTTCATCTTGCTTCAAACTGGGCATGGTCGAAGGAGGCTGTGCAAAGTGTGGGGTCGAATAGGAGTGTCACTCTTGGTCCAGTGCGTCCGCAAGTGACCAGGCCAAGCCTGTCGTCTCGCGCAGGTGTTTCCAGCACGATAATGGCGGACACAGATGCCAATCTGTTTCTTTCTGCTGTTAGGATAGCACCCTGTCGACTGTCCACCCTCTTCTTTCTCAACCAACTTCCAGAAACCCAGCCTGACTGCCGACGGAGTATACCTCATGTCTCTTATGGCGCTCCTCGTCGGCGTTGCCAGCTTCAGCTCGACCATCGTCTATCTAGCGGCTCCCCAAAAACTAGCAACGCCGGCGTCTGTGCGGATGCGAATTACTCGACTGGCTGCAAGGAGGGGCAGCTAGATCGTACATCATGGGCTGATTTCCCATGGCCGAACTTTTCCCCCTCGCCTGCGATCCGGTAGTAAGCCTTTTTCGCCTGCTCACACCCTGCAATAGCTGGGTTCATGGGTTTTAAGAAGCTTTCCGTGGTCCTGGTCTCTGCATCTCATCCCACCATACTTGCAGGCGCTTGGTTAGTCAGGTCGACCGCAAGTGTGAGCACATTGGGCACAATGATGAGCCGTATCAAAGGACGGGCAGCAGTGGAGTTTCTCGACATCTGGGTACTTGGCACCGCATTGAGCGACAAGCCGTTGGCTCCTGGTGATGGTGATAATGCTGACGGGGCATGAGCCCCGGACGAGAGCTCACAGAATGGACAGAACGCCTCAGAAGAGCAGCTGCCTGGAGGTCGAGTGCGTAATTGCGTGCGTCTCGTCTTGCGTTGTCAGAGTTGAAGTGCTACGGAACGCGACAACGTCCACGAGGCCAGGCCGCGACAGCTCGGTATCGAAACCAAAAAGCTGCGATATGGTGGTTTCTCAAAAAAAGACATCCACTCGAAGGCGGTTTGACGGGCGGCATGCATACACAGGAGCATTCGCATATCACTTGGCTGGATTGGACTGATTCAGAATGACTGAATGCGAATGGCAGCGCCGCGTCTGGGTTGTATGTCTCGCGGCAAGAGAAAAGACGGCCATGGATGACAGAAGTATCGCGGGGATGTACATGTGAGCTTTTCGTCTGTTTGATGCTTGTTTGGGAGGGGAAGCTAACCCTGCTACCACACTTATGCTCTGGTCGAAACATTGATGGGCGTTGGCCCTTTGGGCCTTTTCCCTTCCACAACCCCCCCCTTGCGCAGAAGAGCCGAATTTGGGATGTGGGCGGTCCCCTCTTGGGGACCCCCCTCCCCTTGACACCACACTAGATGCTCATGGATGGATTTTCATGGGTCCCTCCTCCCGGGCAGATCTCCCAGATGTCTTGGCCCTTGCCTCGTGTGCGGCGTTCCAGCAGCAACAGCGACAGCAGCGGCGGCGGCAATGATCCAGGAAGCAAGCGGGCCTGTAAGAAAGACGCATGTACCTCTCAGGGTGAGGCAAGGTACCGTACGTAAGTGCCTACATGCCCTCCTCCCCGCAGGCAAGTCAGTTTTCCATATTGTCATGCTCACATCGCATGTATCGAAAATACTACTGATCTTGGCCTGCCTTTCGCCGCCGCCGCTGTTGGACTCGCCCCAGCGGACCCTGTGTCCATCGCATATAATATGAGGAACAGGGACGCGCCTGAGAATCGGGATGGAGGGGGGACAAACCGACGACCGTGGGAAAAGGAACGAGAGAACGACAAAGAAAAGCGCGATTATTCGAATCCGACAGTGACCTGCGCCTGTCCCTGCTTCCGAAGCTCTTTTTTTTTTTTTTTTCCCCATTCCCCTTGCCTACTGCTACCTTATCGTCAGGGATCTGGTACTTGGTCTGACTTATTGAGGAGAGGGAAAGGATTCCTACCGGCTTTTGTCCCGCATTGTGATTTTTCCATTTACCTACTCCGAGAATATTACTACGTCTTTGTTCCACTTTCTCGACCTTTCTCTCAACGCATTTTCGAATCCATCACAGGAATTCGACTCGAGATATTGGGTGCCGGGAACCAATCACAAACAGGTATGTTTCCGCTATCCAACGCGTCTTTTACCTCTCTCTCTATCTCTCTTTTCCTCTCTATGGGTCTTTTCCAAAGATACGAACACAGTTCGTTTTTTCCCCTTAGAAACAAAAAAAACCCTGTTTCCGTTGTACTTTTTTCTTTCTTTCTTTTCTATCTTATTCTTTGCCCGTTCCTGTCGCCTCAGGCCGAGACCAACCAACCCTGCCGTTTACCATTGTACCTGGTCATAGTCATTAGCGAGGAAAGGTACCTTGCATGCCGTCATTCAAGACGTCTTGTTGCCCGTCGGTCAATTGAATTGAACCACCCCTCCTCCTCCACTTGCCCCGACTCGTTGGACCCCTCCACGTTCCCGCCACGAGCTGTTGTCCATCTCGCATCGTGCCCGCACGGCGCCTTCCAGTCCCAATCCGATCAAGAACAGCCGGCGGCGGCGACAAGCACGGAAGACAACGGACAAGTGCTTGGCTGGGACCAGCGACGGCAAGCCGCAAATGGGGTCATTGGGAATACCTACCTCGCAAGCAATTTGTTGCACCTCAGGAAGCAAGAGCAAGAGGCAACGCCTGCTGCTGGTGCCCCTCACCTTCCCTCGTCCCCCCGTTCACCCCCCGTTCCCCGTTCCGCTCCTACCTTGCCTCTTCCCATTTGCTGTGTGTAAGGTACGAAGTACGGAGTGCGGGTAACGGAGCACCTTGCCTACCTTACCTTTCCTTACCTTACCTTGCCTTACGGCAGCCATTCCTGTCCAGTCAACTCGCCTTCCACTCCCACTCCCACACTCATACACACCAAACCTTACCTGCCTTGCCTTGGGCCCTTTTTGCACTGCCTCAACGCCCTTTCCCTCCATCCATTCAGAAATTTCCCGCTAACCAGCATTTCCTTTCTCCCCTCAAGGTGGCCTTTCTCACTCTTCTCCTTCTCACCCCCTCCTTCCTTTTTTCGATCCATCAAAGCCCAGTCTCAATCTTGACGTCTGTCATCACAGTCACCACACTCCTACCAACACCAACACCAACACCGCCCACCTAATTCCAACCACCAGGTCCGTATCTCACTTCCCTCAATCCCTCACTCTCCTCGGAAAAAATACTGCAACAAATCAATACACAACTCGGCCTCTTCCAACGGTCAACGGAGTCTCTCTCTCTTTTTTCTTTCCTCTCATCCCGTGGCGGCGACTGCAAACCTCTTTGTTTGACACAGCCCACAACCCCATCTGCTTTCCATCTCGCACTGCCATCCTCCGGCCTGGAAATTGTACGTTTGCTTTGTCGCCCATGTCGGGCCACTTTGCGCGCTATCGTCAAGTGACAAAGGCCATCACTGGACACTGCCTCGTCTCTTTGCTGCACAGGTGGATGCGAAGTCTCCCAATGTTGACTCGCATGCTCAACCGAGAAGTGCCAAAAGGAGCGCTTTCGTCCCTTGACTTTCTTCCCTCGCCATCAAGAACCCCGCTTGGCGCCACACAGAAACCACTTGCATTTATGCATTGCAGCCTCCCTCGGACTTTTTTTGTTGAACAGATCCTAACTCGCAAGACAAACAGATAGTTCAGCAATCTCTTTGCAAGAAACAAGACACATTACTCTACCATCATCATGTCCAAGCTCTTTATTGGGTACGTTTCCCCCCTCTTGCGCTGGCGCATTGTGCACGTCGACAATATCAAATAAACTTTTGCTGACAAGATTTCCAACAGCGGCCTTGCATGGCACACTGAGGAAGGCACTCTCAGACAGAAGTTTGAGGAGTTTGGTGCCGTTGAGGAAGCTGTAAGTACTGATCGCCCGGTCCGAAGAAACTTTCTTGAGAATGGCGTCGCCATAGACCATGGAGAGACACTTTGTCCCAACATTCCAGTAAAAACGAAAAGAGAGGGGGTCTATTTTTGTGCGTGAGAAAGAGAGAGAGATCTGACCGCTATTCTTCCCCTGCTTGAAGGTCGTTGTGAAGGACCGCGACACTGGCCGCAGCCGTGGATTCGGCTTCGTCCGCTACACTCAGGATAGTGACGCTCAGAAGGCCATTGCTGCCATGAACAACGTCGAGTACGCTGCCTTTGCGAAACTGCTTTCCATTGCTTGCTTGTCCCGGCGCAATGATCGTGGGAGCCCTTCAGCCGACTAACACATCAACTTGCCAGGTTTGACGGACGCACTATTCGCGTTGACAAGGCCTCTGACAACGGTCCCCGCGGTGGCGGTGGCTACCGCGGCGGCTTCGGCGGCGGTGGTGGACGTGGCGGCTACGGCGCGCCCCCTGTGCCTTACGGAGGCGCTCCCGGTGGATACGGCGTTCCCAACATGGGCTACCAGCAGCAGCAGCCTGCTTACGGCCGCGGCTACCCCCCTCAGCAGCCCTACGGCGGTGCTCCTCCCCAGGGTGGGTTGACGATGTCGTCTCTGTTGCTGATTCGTCTTGCTAATACCTCATAGATGGCTACGCGCCCCAGGCTCCCTACGGATACGCCGACCCGTCTCAGCAGCCCCAGGGCGGCCGAGGCTATTAGCGCTCGCTAGATTTCGGAGATTCGTTGCCCGCTAGTTGTCGGTTTTCGCAACTCGGGAACATGCGGCCAAGACATGTTGCCGACGCTCAACTGCTCCGAGTCTGACAGACGTTCGTGTGCGCGCCCGTTGGTTCGATCGAGCTTTGGTGATATTCTTCGCTGCAACACAATACCCGGTTCTTCTGTTGCACTGGATCTCTGGAAAATAAAACCCCAACCCGCGGTCAAAAGGGTTGGTAACGGCCTAGTCTTCTCAATTGGAATGGTTTTCTGCTTCTGTCCTTGATCTTCACCCTTGTTGCCCCAAAATGGTTGCTGCCACTAAAGTCTGGGTGTGTTTTCCGCATGCGGTGATGGTTCCTT